AAAAAGCTATTAAATATATAAAAAATCTTTTTTAGATTATTTTATTTTAAAAAGTTATAATAAGTTTAAAATTTTATAATTAAAAGTTGATGTATTTTCGTGATAGCAACTGTAGTAATTTTGTTGGCGACATAATATGCGCATAATTTGCGATTTTTACTATAAGAAATCACATAATCGATTGGTTAAATGACTGTAATTACCTGACTTGTCGTTCTTTTTGAAATTTTATTGGCTAATAACTTAAATTCGTGTAATTCGTATAATTTATACATAATTTGGCTATCTTCGCCCTGGACAGGTGTGCCAACAAAATTTTACTGTCACGTGATACCCTTAAAGTTCATTTATGTTCGGTGTATGGGATTTAGAATTTAGTAGTTCTAATAGTAAAATTGTTTAAAGAAAGCTTTTTGTTAATGCACGAAAGGGGGTTTCTTATGCAATTCTTCAAAATGAACGTTTGTTTTGAATTTTTTACATTACACGAACTCAGGATTTGGTCGATCAACACGTGATAGTGAAAATTTAATTAGTGTTTGTTGGCGCACCCATGGCTAGAGTATGGCGAGGTACGTACGTACGTACGTACCTTTGATGACTGGTATTATTTTGCAGAAAATTCACCATCACCGTCACAATCGGAGCCACTGACGCTCCGGTAGGTTTTTGATATATTAGGGGGATGGCTAAAGCCAGGTGTGTTTATATGTTTTTTAATATTTAATTAATATTAGGGTAAGGGTTGGCGAGGGGTTAAGGTTAGGGCAAGGCTTATAGGTAAAATTGCCTTCCCGGCATTTTTTATTAGTGCCCGAGGTAGGTTTAGACACTCATTTTCTTTATTTTTTGTGTTTTTCACTTTTTTTCTTTGTTTTTGTCTCGTCGGGCTGATCCGGGTAAATCAAATTTTATTATTTGATTGGCTGTTGGTCACGTGAACACACCTGGCTTTAGACGACCCCTATATTTGGAATAATGCTAATGTTACGTAGGACAAATAATGTAAAGATCGAAATCATCGAACCAAAGATTCGTGACCCTATCTGCGATGTTGCTAGTCGGATGGATTCATATACTTTTTAAAGTTAAAGAAATCAGCAGACATTATATAGTATTTCCCAGACGAGTCATCGTTAAGTCTATTATATTGATGAGCTACTTTTCGCCCTAATTAAAACAGTTATTTAAACACTAGTTTTTTTCCTCGAAATGTAAATTTCAGCACCTTCACCTTTCATTCATATAAAAATAGTGTAAAATAACGATAATGCTTATTAAATGTGGTATTTTTTTTTTTATCTCGATTTTGCTAGTAACGATCATTGAATCTACAATTATTGGCAAATCATCCGATGGAAAAAATGAACATTATATAGTTGTCATTAAAAGTGTTCAAAACAGCAATAAAGAGCCAACAGTTGCTATTACTAAAACCATTGATTCTATATATCAAGATCATATCTCTTGGATTTCAAACATTCATTCTCAAGCAACCGTCGTGACATCTCTCGATGAGAATGGTTCCTCGCATGCTGCTAATAATAGCAGCAGTGATATTATTATTCGTGAATACGCTATTGGCGACAATTTTCGTGCCTATTCTGCTATGTTTGATCCACAATTTGCGGAAAATGCTTTAAAACAGCGCGAAGAAATTGATTATGTTGTACGCGATTCCGAGGTTTGGGTTGCACGTGATATTGATGGTCTTAATGAAGAAGATATAATTGAAGAGTATTTAGCGTTAGG